TGCCGCTGTGACGTCACCCCACACACGTGCGCACGGACACGCGCGCACGCCCGGCAGCCTGGCCACGCCCAGCCCACGCGTGGCGCGCTCACCCACACAGGCATCCCGCCGCTCCTCGTAGCCGGCGCTGCACACGCACTTGCCGATGGGCACCAGCCACTCGCCCTCCGCGCTGCAGTACATCTTGGGCGTGTCCCGCTCCTCCGAGTGCCGCACGCACTGGCCCCGCACCTCCACCAGCGAGGACGAGTCGGCCCCCGTCACCGCCTCCGAGAAGGCAGCCAGGTTGCGCACCATGGTGGGGCACTTCTTGTAGTAGATGCGGAGAGACAGGATGGCCAGGCACGCCCCGATGTCCTGGAAGGCCAGGTAGAAGCCCCGCTTGCTGAGGGGGCCCACGCCGCGCACCTCCGTGTTGAGCTTGAGGCGCCGCACCCCCAGGTCCGCGCCCGTGAAGCTCTCGTCGGCCGCGATGGTGTCAATTTTCAGGAACTGGCTTTCCTGAGTGCTGGCGCCCAGGTCGCGGTCCGACTCCAGGTAGTAGAGGTTGAAGGTCTCCTTGCAGGTGCCCAGCACGCCGGGCATGCTGTTGCAGTCACGCAGGGTGAACTTGATCTCGGCGTAGACGCGCCGGGCGCCGTCTCGGGGCACCCAGCTGGTGCGCAGCCAGTTGTTCTGGTTGGGGCTCATGACGTTGCACACCTGGTAGGTGTGGATGGGCCGGAAGGACTCGTCCACCTCGTTGATGGAGTCCCACTGCGGGCAGAGAGCACAGTGGCCGAAGTGAGTCTGCGCCTCGTGCTCTGCCCCTGCCCGGCCATGCCATGTGCACAGCAGGGCCCTGGGGGGATGGGCGGGCCCGGCCTTGCAGACCTCTTGGGCCACCTCTTGGTCACAGCAGCACCACAGCCCCGCAGACACCGCGGTGGCGATGGCCAGGGTGCCTCCCTTCCGGGAAGGGTCGGCTGCTGTCCGTTTACAGAGGAGGAAGCAGAGGCTCAGCTGTTGAGCTGCCTGGCTGAGGGCTCACTGGGCACAGTAAGTGGCCCGGTCAGGACTGGACCCGAGGCCAAAGCTGCTGTAGTGGGGAGGGGTTGCTTGGGGGAAGCGAGCAAGCCCACTGGGCTGGCTCCCATATGGGCTGCCAGAAAACTCGTTCTAATGTGTGAAGCTGATCATGGTCCCTCCCCGCTGTCCCCCGGCCCCCCACCCCCCCGCCCGAGGCCTCAAAGCCTTCAGCAGTGCCCCATGCTTGTTGAGTGACTAGCTGATGGCAAGTCTCCCCCCTACTCCCCCAGTCTCTCCCCCGGATGTTGCTCGGCTGCCCCGCTAAGGTGGGGCTGGCCTGGGTCACACTCAGTCCCGGGATGGGCAGGCTGGATGTGATTGTTTCTGAGCCAGGGGCTGGTCAGGCATCAGTGACTCAGAAGTAATCAGACGCTATCAGCAGCATGAAAAGGCAGCCCACGGAGCAGGAGAAAATATCTGCAAATCCTGTAACTGAAAGGGGATTAATACCCCAAGTATGTAAAGAACTCCTACAACTCAACAACCAAAAAACAAACAGCCTTATTAAAAACGTGGTCAAAGGACATGAATAGCCGTTTCTCCCAAGATATACAGGAGGCTAAAAAGCACACGGGAAGATGTTCGACATCACTCACCATCAGGGAAATGCAAATAAAACCACAATGAGATACCACTTCACACCCGCTAGGACGTTGTTATCAAAACAACAGGAAATAACAGGTGTTGGAGAGGAGAGTGGGGCCCTCTCGCCTCCTCCTCGCCGCGAGGCCGCCGACTGGAGCCTGGCTGGGGGAGGCAGCATGGCGGCCTCAAAACATGAGCCGCCGAATCGCCACGCGGCCCCGCAACCCCAGGTCTGACTGCGCACCTAACAGGAATGAAAGCGGAGGCTCAGACAAATACCCACACAGCCAGGTTCAAAGCAGCCAGAGGCAGATGGGCGGTGGATGACTAGACAGAAGAAAGCGGATGGCCGCACAATGGTGTTACCAGCCTGCACAAGGCAAGAAGCTCTGGGGCTGCTACCACACGGGCGCCCCAGCATCATGGCGAGGAAAAGGCGCAAAGGGCAGGCGGTGCCGCCTTCCACGCACAGGGCGTGCTGAGTGCCCGTCAGACCCGCAGAGCCAGAGCAGGGGTGCCGCTGCGGGCTGGGTGGGGGCTGGGCGGCTTCCTGGGCAGACGGCTCGGACGCCGGGCGGCTGTCACACACAGTGAGTGCACTGGAAGCACTGAGCTGCCCACGGAGTGGTGACGGCAGCAATTGTGTGTATTTCACCAGAATAAAAGAGAAAGATGCACCAGACGCCCCCCCACTTCTGAGCACCCCACAGTCCGCCAGACAAGCAGGCGGAAGAAAGAACCTCTTGTGGGGCGGGCGGGAAGAGGCCCCGAGACACGGGGAAGGGTGACATGTTCTGCCAGCGCCCACAGCCAGGGCCCACCCCAGGCACGGCCACCGCGGCAGGGTCGAGGAATAAGGCCGGAGCCAGAGGCCGGTCCGACTCGGCTCGGGCTCTGACTGGACTCGGTGTGACCGTGGCTGAGTGGTTGGTCCTCTCTGGACTCCAGGGCCCGCCACTGCAAGATGCTCGCGCTGTTGGGCTGAGCTCAGTGGACGCCCTGGAGCCCGGGGGTGGGGGCACGGGGGCTTTGGGCTCCAGGTCACTCACAGCCCCTGCAGGGATTTGCACGCCTGATCTCATCTCTTGGGCCTCTACGTACAACTGACTTGGAACTAGAGAGCCTATTGCGTAAGGGGCCGGGGAGGCGGAGACTGCGTCTCAGGGCTCTGCAAATCCCTGGGCTTCTGCACTGTTCCACAAGCATGAGAGTGGGGACAAGGGCCTCGATCTTTCTTGCCTGACAAGAGTCTTTCCAACTGACCTCGCCTCGGACATCTATGTGAGCTGACCCTTAGCACCCGCGTCTGTAAAGTGGGGCTCAGTGAAGCTGGCGAGGATGAAAGGAGGAGGCTGCAAAGGGTTAGCGGGGGCTGGCACAGGCAGGCATCGGAGGAACACACTGCTGGACGCTGATAGGGCCGCATCTTCCCAGCCCGCCTGCGAGGCCTCCCGGGGCCACGGGGGAGCAAGCACAGAGACTGCGGAAGAAGTTATGACTCGCCTGTGCCCCTAACCTGGGCAGGACCCTTGCCCTGCACCCCAGTCTGCAGCCAGGACCCCTGGGCTGTGCTGTGTCACATCTGGGGTTAAAGTCATTGTCACAATTAATGGAGCACCAAAGAGCCAGCCAGCTGCTCCCTGTCTGTTTCCTGCCAGGGACCCGGATAAATTAATCAGCCCAATCTGCGTCCTCTCCAGCTGCCCCACTCGTGCCAGTGGCCCTGCCCGGCGCTGCCCTGCCAGCCACAGAGGCTGCTGCAGACGCCCAGGGTGGCACCCATTCCTGGAGACTGGTACCAGGGCAGTCTCGGTCCTGCTCTCCACTTGGGGCACCCAGGCACTCCCGGCACAGCTCCACTCTAGCCTCGCAGTCCCCTCCCCAGGCTCCGTCTTCCCCTGAATGCAGAGACCCAGCTGGGTGTATCCTATGCCCTCTCCGAGCCTTGGGCTTCTCTTTCATGAAGTGGGGTGGCTGGTGGCCCCGCATCTACTCCAGGGGTTGGGTGCCGAGTGTGAGACCACAGCCCAACACGCCCTCCTAGCACAGAACCGTTCAGGGCTTAGTGCCCCGGAAGGGGAGCTGTGCTGCCCGGCCCACAAAGGGAGGGTTCCAATCCTGGGTGTCCCCAGACCTTAGCAGGGCTACCGGGTGTCCCCAGACCTTAGCAGGGCCACTTAACCTCTCGGAGCTTCTGGGTTCTTATTCTTTTCATGCTTCATCTCACCAACTGTGCAGAACAGGCCCTAGGATCACCCAGGTGGTAAAGCAGGAGGCGGCGGGGAGGCCTGGCCTGGGCAGCACCATTAGGGGGCAGCACACGGCTCATCCAGACCAGCACCCCTGCCTTTAGGCTGCAGCCTGCCCGGCAACCTCAGACAGGCCTGTCCCAGGCTGTTTAACTGACTCCAGAATCGGGGGTGGTCCGAAGCCCCACCATAGCCAAGGGTTCCCCACCCAGCTGGCAGGAGAATCACCTGGAAAACTTATCAAAGAAAAGCCCTCCAGGGCCTTCCCCAGACTCCCAGCTATGGGCATCTGCATGTTCACCTGCTAGTCCCACTCAGGGGCAGAGTCTAGAGAACCAAGTGTCTCATCCGGCCTTCCCTCCTTTCTGGGCCAGCCCAATGTCCAGGGCCTGTGAAGACATGACAGGGGCGATGCAGGACTGTCCCCAGCCATCCAAAATGAAGACACAGACTCAGAGGGCCTCAGCACAGCCTCCAGGCCCAGAGATTCGAGCTCAAGTCCATCCCGTGGAACCTGTCCAATGGTGGGCAAGTCACTTCTCACTGCTCTGGCCTCAGCTTCTCATCTGTGAAGTGGGGTGGCTGCATGCAGGACTGTGTGGGCATCAAATGAGTCACCATCTAGGGGCCTAGAACATAAGTTGCTGTTCTAACTTCAACCCCCTGTTACCCTGAAAACCGAGCCCTGAGCTTGGGAGGGGGCAGAGACCCCACATTCCTTCCCAGCTGCTGGGTCTAGGGCCAATGCTGATCCGGCCTCCAGGGTTGGTCCCCTGTCACCGGTGGGGCACAGCCAGCTTTGCAGGGTCCTTTCACACCCATGCTCCCCCTTGGGCAGCCCTCTGGGACACACCCAGAGGGCACTGAGGAGCGACTGAGGCCCAGGGAGGGAAAGGCTCCCTCAGGGACCTCTGTCCTCAGGAGAGCAGGCCTGCCCAGGCGGCTGGGCTGGGCGCTCCTCCTGGCTACGGGCCCTGGCCTGCCCCTCCAGCTCCGGGCGCGTGGGGCGATGACAGCAGGCTCCGCCTACGGCTGTCCAGGGCAGAGACCCGCAGAGAGAGGAGCTGGGCTCCCGGCCCCGTCACAGGCTGCAGCAGCCTGGCTGAAAACTGCTCCCCACAGCAGAGACACTCCCTTCACAAACATTAGCTCCGGTGTCACTGCCGCCATCGTTATGAGTATTATCGTTGCTCTGTCCCCAGAGCCACAGGAGACAAAATGCTTGTGAGAAGCAGCATGTGCGCACGTGCTCATGTCCACGGCAGGAGCGTGTGCCCCTGGGCACGTTTGTGAGGGGACGTGTACGTGACACACGACCGCCTTCCGTACCCACAACGAGGAGGGCAGGCACGAGAGAGGGGCTGCTCCCCTCACCCCCCAGCAAGCCCCGGCTCATTCCGTTCCACAAAGGAGGAACCGAGAGCAGGAGGAAGGAGCTGGCCCAGGCCGCCCAGTCGTGGATGGCGGAGCTGGGGCTGCACCGGCTCTGGGGGAGGGGCGGGGGGACGGGCAGAGCAGCACTCCCAAGGGGCCGGGGCTGACCATGCCTGAGCCCCGGCCGGGGGCTCATCTCTGAGCACATGACCCACGGGGGCCTGATGGCCTGGGCCCAGGGGGGCTGCAGAGGCCAGGGCTGGGCACTCAGCACAGCGGGCTCATAGCGCCCCGATGGTTCTGATGGAAGAGACAAGCGGGGGCCTCCAGGTGCCGGCCGCTCCTGTGAGGGCCAGGCAGCCGGGTTGGGGGAGCAACCTCAGGGGCCGGAGGACTGGCTGGGGCGCCGCCTGGCCCTGGCCCTTGACACTGACCGGCAAAAGCCACCTTGGGCCAGGAGCCCATGTGGTGAATCTTGGGCGCATGTGAGGCTCTAGGACCTCGAGCTTGAGGAGCTGCCAGCCGCTACCAGCACTGGCTCGGTAACCTCAAGGCTGGGCTGTCAAGACATTTGAGCTGCTTTACCTGCTGTGTGTCTCTGGCGAGTCCCTGTACCTCTCTGGGCCTCTGAGGATAACAATAAGACTCTGCATTGCAGCCGCGCTCCGCTCACCGACGACCCAGGCCCCCAGCCCATCACTTACCCCATGAGCCGGATAGGTGAGCCAGCCCCAGTCTCCGTGGATGGTCGATGTGTCCAGCAAGTTCACTGCAAAACCGGAGACAAGGACGCATCAGACCGGGGCCCCTCCCAGCCCCACGGGCATATTGACGGCAGCCATACCTTCTGCTCTAGCCGCAGACATTCTGGCTCCGAGTCTCTGCCCTTTCTCAAGCCCCTGCAGCCAAGTTCTCTCGTCCTTGAAGCCTCCTCCACTACCCGGCCAAAACTTGACCGAAACTTCCAGAACACAGCTGCCGAGTACAGGCTGCCCTGGCTGGTGGTGCAGGGGAACAGGCCAGATCCCTGCTCTGCCCCTGAGGAACCTGGTGTCCTGAGCAGGTTCCCACTCTGCAGACTCAGTGTGCCCCTCTGGAAAATGGGGGTGAGAGCAGCTCTTGCCTCACAGGTTGTGAGCATGCCCATATGCTTGCTTCATTCATGGGGCACCAGCAAAAGCACCCATTTGCGCCCCCACTGTCAGGTCATCTCTCCCTCCAGAGGCTGGGCTGCAGCTTTATAAGCATCAGGGTTCCCAGGACGTGCCTCGGAGCGTGTCTGAGGTGCAGGGGATTGGAGGAGTAAGAGCCACCCACCAGAGAGCACCTCCTGTGTGCTGAGCTCTGCGAGGGGAGCTTGAGGGCTCCTGTACCCAAGGGTGCTGCTTCTCCTTTCCCCCTGAGGGGTGAAGACAGTGGGCCTAGGGGAGCTGCCTGAGCTCCTCGCTGGAGCCCACAGGTGGCACTCGGGGCTCCTGCTATGACAGCCACTGTCAACGTCACAGCCCAGGCAGCATGAGCCCAAGAGGCAGAACCCTGAGCAGTCGCCGGGGACTCTGAATGGCTGGCTGAAGGCAAGTCTGCTCCAAGGCAGAGCTGCAGGGAGGACCCAGCCAGGCCGCAGCAGCAGGGTGTAAAAACCACCTTTGGAGTCAGGCTGACCAGGCCCGTGTCAATGCTATGGCTTCGCAGCATGGGACCTTCAGACTCTGAACCTCAGTTTGCTCCTCTGGCAGGTGGGGGCAGTCGTGCCTTAGGAGCAGGGGTGGTGAGGTAAACCGTGAGGCCAGAGTCCCTGCCACCTTACCAAGTCAGTTCCCCTCCCCTGAGCCTGCCTCTCTCGCCTCCCTCCTTGTGTCTGGTCCCACCCACTCACTTTAAGGTGACAAAGGTGCAGGGCTGTTAAGTCAGGGCTTGAATCCTAGCTGGGTCTCTAACTGCTGTGTGTCCTCGGGCAAGTCCCTTTACCTCTCTGGGCCCCAGCTGCCTCTGGATCTATCAGGTTGCAGAGAGGGCCCTGGCTCCGTAGTCCACGGCTTTCATTTCACTTTCTCTTCCGTGTACTCCCTCCCCCAGCCAGCAACAGGGGCCTCCAACTCATCCATCAGCTGCTCAGGCAGGTCACAGAGGGTTAAAGCAAGGGCCCTCCTGGAACTTTCCCGAAGGGAGACCGGTATCCTTCTGCCTGAGATTTGCATAGCTCTAAGCCTGCCCCTCAGAGATGGAGACAAGTGTCCTCAGGAAATGTTGGAGTGAGGATGCTCTTATTTGCTGATTTCTTCCTCCTCTCGCCCTCCCCAACCCATTGTCAGGGACCCCAGAGGCCGCTGGAGAGAGGGCTTGCAGAGGCAGGGGGGCCTCTGAGCTCCACCCTGGATCCCCAGGACCAGAGGGCTCTGAGCACCAGCCCAGTCCACTGAGGGCTCTCCCCTCTCTAGCCAGCCCAGGCCAGGGGCACAGGCAGAGACGCCTTCCTGCCTCCCTCCCTCCCTCCCTCTCAGGCAATGGAGAGGAAAGTGGGTCAGGCAGCTCGCTCTTAGCTCTTCCCGCTGGCTGCTGGGAGGGGGAGGGGGGCACACTGCAGTCTCCCCCAGACCAGCAGGGACTAGTTTGGGGAGAAGGTAGGGTCAGGGGACCTCTGGGCACCCCCACTGCACCCCACACACCCCCTGTGGGTCTCAGAGCTAAGAGTCCCTCTCCGGTCTCCCCTGGACTCAGCTCAGCCCAGTCCCTACCCATGGGCAAGGCAAGAGAATGTCCACCGCTTGGCCCTTTGCCCTGGGAAATCCAGCACTCTGGACAGCAGACCCCACCTCCCAGGCCCTTCCCTTCCCTCCCCTTCCCCGGAGGCCCCGCCACATTTTCAGCTGATTCCGGAGCAGCCAGCCAGGGGCTCAGATAATCCAAAGATAAGTCAAATGTCGATTCTATCGGATTCTGGAAGAGCTATAGGATTCCAGGGTTGTTTGCTTCAATTCCTGCCAGACTCTTCTCTGTCCCTCCCACCTTCTGTCCCCTCATCCCTACCTCATGTCCTCTCCGGAGGGTGGGAACATGGAGACTCGTTCTCGGGAAGCTCCCAGCCCACAGAAGGCTTGGTTAGCTCACGAGAACTGCAGCTCTCCAGCCGCTGGCCTGGGCCTGAGTCCCCGTGGGACTCGCAACCACCAGGCCACCAGGACTGGGGTTGCTCCAGCTTCTCACACTGCTGGACCGAGGGCCTGTGTGACACTTGTGAAGTCACTTGCCTGCTCTGGGCCTGGCTTCCCACTTGCAAATGGGGGCACTGGGCTTGCCCTGAAGAGAATCCCTTAACTCTGCTGTGCCTCAGTTTCCTCATCTGCAAGATGCCTGTAAGCTGCTTGGGCTGCCCACCTGGGCTGCTCTGGGGGATCAAACGGGCCCCTTTCCTGCTCTGAGAAGCACAGATAATTCCTAAGCCTTTCCCGTTCACCTCTGGAAGGCAGTATGCCATTTCTTTTTTTTCTCCAGCACCGCCACCTTCCCCCACTCCATTTCGCTGAGACTAATACTTAAATTGATTTACATTCCCCGAGGACGCTGTGCAGGCTGGTGAGGCTGGAGAATTCAGGGTGGCCGGGGGATGTCAGCCAGGATGTGAGCGCCTGGGAGCTCACCCCAAAGTGGTGGATAATCCACACCAGGGAGTGATAAGGGGCTTCGAGCCTGGTGGGGCTGGGGAGGCATCTCTCTGGCACAGGGGTCTCCCCGGCCCTGCGAGGGACTGGAGTCGGGCCCCTCAGCCAGGGTAAGGCTGTCAGGGTCCCAGCTGGGAGGGCAGGGGCAGCCGTCTTGGGCTGGTGCCGTCCTATCCCACCGGGGCCAAGCTCAGGTCTCCACTCAGGTCCTGCCCAGCTGTGGGTACCAGAGGGGCGTGGGCTCGGGTCTGCACGCCGGGCGATGCCTCCTCTCCCCGCCTCTTTGGGACTGTGCCTCTCCCTCAACGGTCACCCTCTGCAAGTGCCCTCTCTCCTGGCCAGTTGATCCTCTGCGGGGAGCCTGGTTAAAATCCCCTGGGGGGGGGCTCTGGATTTGCTGGCTGCTCCTCAGAAAAGAGCTGAAACAGGAGTTGTGGTGTTCCACCCCACGCCCAGCCCTCCGGGGAGGCCCTTCTGAACCCTGCTGGGCAGAGAAAATGCCTCCTTTTCCTCCCCCAATCCTGGGAAAACTGTCTTCTCAGGCCACAGCTCCTAGAGCGCCCAGACCCTCTGCACCCAGTCTTGCCCTCCTCCCCGCTCACCCAGCCCCTCGCGTCCTGGTGTCCTTCCACCGCAGCTGCTGGTCTGCCCGCCCTCTCACTGCCCCCTGCCCCCCGCATGGCTGGGGTTCCTGTGGCGTGAGTTCACTCTGGAGCCATGTGTTTGCACGGGCAAGCACACAGGTTGGACGGCCTCCTTCCGGGAGCATGTTTGCATGTGCATGTCCCTGTGCGTGGTGTGTGTGCACGTGTGTGTGCCCACGTGCGTCCTGTGCAGTTCCGTGCCTCTGACTGTGGCTGTCGGGGAGAAGGGACTGTCCACGCCTGTGAGTCTCCGCAGGCCCGGTCTCTGTGTGAATGCTGGGAAGTGTGTGCTGTGGGTACTGCTGTATCTCTGAGCTGATGGTGCGTGAGGGGGTGGATCTGTGGTCTATGAATGTGGATGAAGAACAGGACTCTGGAGCAACCTGGCATCTGAAAGTTCACCCTGCCAGGGCGAGCAGGCAGTCCTCGATCTGGGTGTCTTCCTTGGAACCCTGCTCGGGCCACAGGGTCAGGCTTCATGGGCAGAGCTTTGCAGGGGAGGTCTAGGGTGGGGGCAGGGAGGGTCACAGAGTAGGACCCGGGATAGCATCCTGGGCTGGATGTGGAGTGTCCAGTGGGGTTAAGGAGTGTGTGTGTGTGTGCGTGTGTGTGTGTGAGAGAGAGAGAGAGAGAGGGAGTGTCCAGTGGGGTTAAGGAGTGTGTGTGTGTGTGCGTGTGTGTGTGTGAGAGAGAAAGAGAGAGAGAGAGAGTGGGAGGCCCTGGGTGCCTCTTCCCAGCTTTCCTTGTCCCCTCCCACCACCAGAAGGTCACCTCCCAGACCCTTTTAGTCATGTCTACTCCGTGTCCATCCCCTGCACCAGCACCCCCCACGTGCCCCGTGTCCCCTGAGTGACCCGACCACCTGGCACTGCCCCTGGACAAGTCTGCTCTCCAGGCCTTGCTGCCTCAGTCCCTCTGCGGCCCCCTCAGCCCTCTCCTCAGGCTGCTCCTCCTGCTACCGGGCTCCTGCGTCCCCCCACTGCTGTCCCTCCTCCTCCCGGGTCCTCCCGTCCCCCAGCTGGGCAGCTCCCAAGACTCTCATTCTCTGCCCCTCAATTCTGACTTCCCAAATGCTGTTCTGTACCCCCTTTTCTCAGGTCTCGGTCCCATCTCTCACTGCCATGCCCTTTTTCTTCAGGCCCAGAACCTCACCCCCTCGGGTGTCCCTGTGGTTCCCCAGTGACACTCTTGGCTGTCCCCACCCCTCTGCCTGGTCTTGTCCCTGCCCTGTCTCTGTCCCCTCGCTCCTCTTCACTTCTCCCCCAGCCCAGTCCTGTCTCCCCGCCCCCCCAGAGCCCCCAGTTCTCCGTCCCCAGCTCTGCATCCCTCAGTCCTGTCCCCATGCCTCTGTCCCTCCTCCTCAAGCGCCCCAGTCCCGTCCCCATCTCCACCGCTCTGCCTCCAGCTCCTGGTTCTTTCTCGCGGAGCCATCCCGCCCCCACCCAGGTCGAGGGACCGCCGGTCCCTGGTGCTCCGGGGTCCAAGAGAAGG